TTTTTAGTAGAGACGGGGTTTCACCATGTTGACCAGGATGGTCTCGATCTCTTGACCTCGTGATCCACCCGCCTCGGCCTCCCAAAGTGCTGGGATTACAGGCTTGAGCCACCGCGCCCAGCCCCTTCCCTACCTTTTGCAAAGCCCTCCTCACCTGCTCTCCCAGCCACTCACCCCAACATTCACGCACACTCCGGTATATCTAGCCATGCCTTTTCATGATCTTTGACAAAGCAGATCTGTGGTAATGGAAAGATCTCTTTTCTGTGCCCCTGTTCTTCTTTTAATGAAAATGATTTGTCACACCAAACCTCACTACAGATGGGAATATTCTTGCTGGTGAGACATAGCTAAAAACGTATGCCAGCTGACATTGTACAAAGAAAGCATAGACAGCAAATTTATGCATTTTTCTTCTATTCATGTTCCAGTTATAAACCTGAATGTTAGCTGGTCATGCATTCTGTTGAATAGTAGGATAATATGTGGAAAGTTTACCTGACATAGCTTTCTGGTACAAGTTAAGATTTCAGTTTTATTTACAAATGGACTAGACTTCTTTAAGATGCACAATTCACCAGGGGCCCTTATCGGGGGTCTCTGGACCCCCCTAAGCAGTCCACAGATGTGTTGTAAGGGGGTCTGTAAACTGGTTAAAAATGGCCAGGGGTGGTGGCTCATGCCTCTAATCCCAGCGCTTTGGGAGGCCGAGGTGGCAGATCACCAGAGATCAGGAATTCGAGACCAGCCTGGCCAACATGGTGAAACCCCATCTCTACTAAAAAATACAGGTATTGATCGACTTACGACCTATGCAACTTAACGACCATTCAACTTTACGACCACAGTCGCTAGCCACGACTGCTCCACGTCTGGCAGCGCAAATGTTGCCCAGCTGGGCGTACAACAGTGCGGACCAGCTTCCGGCAGCACTACCATCTCCACGTGCATATAGCCTACTCAACTTACGACCAAATCGTGTTACGACCAGTCTGTCGTAACCAATCGTGGTCGTAAGTCGAGCACTAGCTGTATAGAAATTAGCCAGGTGTGGTGGCACATGCCTGTAATCCCAGCTATTTAGGAGGCTGAGGCAGGAGAATCGCCTGAACCCGGGAGGTTGCAGTGAGCTGAGATGGTACCACTGCACTTCAACCTGGGGAACAAAGCGACACTCTATCTCAGAAAACAAACAACAAAAAAAACAACTGCTTAAATTTCTATGTCAGCGTATGCCTCTCTCTCTGTGTGTGTGTGTGTGTGTGTGTGTGTGTGTGTGTAATTCTGTTAACAGGCCTCTAGGTAGGAATTCCGTGTGTGTGTGTGTGTGTGTGTGTGTGTGTGTGTGTGTAATTCCATCAACAGGACTTGAGATAGGAATTCCATCCTTAGTGGACCAGCATTTTGCCCAAGGGCAGCTTGTAAAAGGTGGTGCTGGAATACTGATTGTTTGGCTTTTTCCCACTATTTACCCTGACACCCAATCACCACCCTCTCCCAATCAAGTTATTTATAGGCCACGGTAGTAACTCACCACTTTATGCTAGACTTGGTGGTACTCAGTGGTTTGCTTACCATGCCTTTGTTTTTCTCAGGAAAAAGATCTTGAGATACAACCAGCATCTTATAGCTAGTTAGAGATGAAGCTCTAGACGCTCTGGAACCCAGATTTCCCATCTCCTGGCCCCAGTCCCGCTGTAGGGATTTAGCTGTTGACTAATCTTTGGGTATGGGCATCCTGCTTCCACAGAAACTGGTACGGTGCAAGGCCTGTGCTGATGCTGGCCTGCTTGACGAGAGCTTCCTGAGAAGATGTCTGAATTTTTATGGCCTTCTCATTCAGCTGCTGCTCCGAATCCTGGACCCCGCGTATCCCGAGTGAGTGAGCTTCTTTCTCTTTCCCTCGTCCCTCGCTGGCTGGGCTGTGTTGTTTTTTTAAGTCCTGCAAAGTTGATAACTAAAACTAAAACCCTTTCTTTATCAAGAATTCACTTCTCTTGGCCAGGCGCGGTGGCTCACGCCTGTAATCCCAGCACTTTGGGAGGCCAAGGCAGGCGGATCACCTAAGGTCGGGAGTTCAAGACCAGCCTGGCCAACATGGTGAAAACCCTGTCTCTACTAAAAATAAAAAAATGTTAGCTGGGTATGGTGGCATGCGCCTGTAGTCCCAGCTACTCAGGAGGCTGAGGCAGGAGAGTTGCTTGAACTGGGGAGGCGGAGGTTGCAGTGAGCCGAGATCGTGCCACTGTACTCCAGCCTGAATGACAGAGACTCCATCTCAAAAAAAAAAA